AAAGGAGAACAGAGTGTGAGTGTGTTACCTTCTCTGTGAGGCACGGACGAGGACGTGATGAAGGTCCACCTGGTGGCTGACACCGTCCCTCTGGGAACAACATTCTGCCAGAAGGTTCCTACGGGAACCAAACGCAGACAGCAGCAAAGTGTTGCGTGTAACGTTAAAAAAAAAAAAAAAACTACTTCACCAAACGAGTATGCTCATGAGAGAAATGGACTCTTAAAAAAAAAATACATTTGTGTATTTAACCGAATCTTTGTCAGATTTTTTAGTTTTGTCGATTATCTCTCCTTTTCGCGAGCGTATTCTAAGAGCGTGTGTGAGGCGGCCGTTGGTCCGGACCGCAGCTCTGCTGGACGTTACTGACCCACTAGGCTTCCACGGGCCAGGTGCAGCTGGTTCCTGCCCGAGGCCACCCACACCCCGCCGGCGTTGGCGCTGACCAGGCTGGGCTGGCACTGGGAGTACTGGGACAGGAAGGCCACCACGCGCTCCACGGGGGCCCTGGTCACCGTGGCGACGCTCTGCGTGGCCTGCAGCAGGGTCTGGAACAGGCTGCCCTGGTCGAACACCACGTAGTCCGAGATGCTGATCTGGTGGAGGGACAGGAGTTGAGCACCCGCCTCAGGTCCGGGTCCAGCCCCCGGCCGGACCGTACCTGCCACCAGTGGTCATCCTCGCCCTGCGGTCTGGAGGCGCAGAGGCCCGTCCGAAACCACAGGCTGCCGCTGGTGTCCAGAGCCCAGGCCGTCCCGCCATCCCCCAGAGCCACGCATATCAGCTCCAGGCCCTGGGCCTCGCTGCAACACACACACACACACACACACACACGTGTTTTGCACTTCGACAGGATCGGCTAGGATTAATGAACGCGTATTTTGTTTATTATCGTTGTTATCTTATTGATTATTGAGCAAAAAGAGGTCAACTTAGTTGGACAGGGTTTGTGAGAAGGCAACACATGTTTGACTGCCGCAAACACCTGCAGAAAGTCATTGTTGTTGAATGTTAAAGGAAGTTTTTCCTTGCCTGTGTCGCCTAGTGCTTGCTCATGGTGGGAATTGTTGGGTTTCTGTAGTTAACTTCAGAGTAGGGTCTGACCTGCTCTGTTTGGAAAGCGCTGTGAGACAACTGTTGTTGTGATGTGGCGCTATATAAATAAAATTGAATTGAATTGAATTGTTTTACACACATATCCAGACACACACACACACACGCCCCAGCAAAAAACCCCAAAATGAGCTGAGCAACAAAGCAATATCCAGTCTTTTCTGCAAAGGTGCGAGAGGACTGGTGGATGGGCATTTCTGTATCGACTCTCTTTCTGCGTTCCTCTGTCCATGAGGGCAGTTTTACCCGCTTAAGCACGCGCACAGCTTTTTTTTTGGACTTGGTCTGGCGTAAAAAAGCAGACCAACCCCAGCGCTGCCTGCTGTTTTTTCCACACGGTGCACCTGTACTGTACTGTAAAGTGAATCGTATGTCCATTAGCGTCCAGCCTTTCCTTAAGCACACACTCTGATGTAAAATCTTTTTCTAGAAGGATGACAGGCTATACTCTCCGTATAAATAGAAGAATATTAGAGACAGTTCTTGAGAACGGTGGCTGTGCATCTCTTTGAGCTGAGAAACGTTAAAAACACACAAAACGCCTTTATCATAGGAAAAAAGCTAGTGTTGATGTTCTGGAAAAAAACAGAGGTTCCATCGGTTAAATTGTGGCTGGAGGAACTGGTAAGGCTCTCTCATTTGGAAAGAGTACGGTTCTCATTAGCAAATAACTTAAAGCAATTCAACAGAACTTGGCAACCCCTTCAGCAATATATTAATAACCCTATTTGAGGATGATTTGTTTTCGTTATCGGTGTGATCTGATGTAAGTCCCAGGAAAAGGGGAGGAGGGTGGGTTGGGGGAGGTGATTGGGTCTTGAAAATGTCCTTATTTATGTCACTTTTGTTTTGTTTTAATTTGGTATTGTCTTTATGTCGCATGTTCACATAAAAAAAAAAAAGAGAACAAATATATATTGTTGTGGTTGTAATTCCACAATTATTGATTTCTCAATAAAACAGTTTGACAACAAAAAAACACACAAAACCGTTGTGGTCCGGCCCAATTTAAGCCCACAGCCTCTTCTGAAAGTGGGAGGGGCTAAACGTTAGACCATCGGAAGAACGATCCAGCAGGTGAGAGCGACAGGTTGGAAAATAAAGACACAGATGTGTCCTCGTCTGTTGCGGACCTATCTGTTCTCCTCTAAAAAAAAGGGGGCCTGAGACGGAGCCTTGTGGTGCCTAAACGGAGCCGGCCCGGCCCTCGTACCTGACGGTGTCGTATTTCCAGCCGTCGCCCTCGCTGCAGAAGCTGCTCAGGCCCTCCCGGTAGAACAGGGCCTTGTGCTCGCTCAGGGCCCAGACCACGCCGGCCCTCACGCACACCTGGCTGAACACGCAGGGGGACTCCACCTTCACCGAGCGGGCGCACGGGCGCTCCACGCTCAGACCTGAAACACACACACACACGGCCCTCACTACGGCAACAGCATCCAATTCAGTTTAGTTTTGTGTGCATACAGCAAAAAAATCTGATGTAATCCAATTTCTAGGCCGTTCGAGGGGGAAAGGGGAACAAAATTCGACTTTAAACTGCCGCCAATAAAACCATACTGCCATTAAACGCAGGAACAGGGCGCCCCCTGCTGGTCACACAGAGACATGACATCCATCTGAGACCATCCAACCAGCCATATACTGTAGATCCAGCCCAGAAAATCCCTCACGAGGTGGGTTAGGGTCATAATGGAATGCATTTTCCTCTCAGCACGGACCCTCACTGTGAACTGGATCTGTCTGTGTGCCTTTAAGATGTAGCAATGTTTAAAACAAAGTTCAAACAGGATGCGAGAGAGCAGATTTTTTTCTAATTACAGAGGTCACTTGCTGCTCATTTTGAGACAAAAAGTTACTTTCTGCCTTGAAATGGCTTGATGCCATTCAAAAACAGTCCTATTTTGCATTTTACAGGCCCATTACCCAGACCATGTGGATTATTACTGCTCTTTGTCTACCAAATGTGATTGAAGATGCACCCTTCACATTTTATCTATCTAATTTTTTTTGGGTTGATTAATTTTCTTTCTTTGTTTTCTTTTTGCTCTGCTTTGAAATTCTTTGTATAGCACTTTGAATGGCCGTGTACACGTGATGTGCTTTACAAAATAAACTTGCCTTGCCTTCAAAATGGCTTGAGTGGTACACATCACATCGTCTGTAACATTTTTAAGAAATATACATTTCTGCCGCCCACCCTGAACCATGGTTCTGCTCCAGGTTTCTGCCTGTTAAAAGGAAGTTTTTCCTTGCCTGTGTCGCCTAGTGCTTGCTCATGGTGGGAATTGTTGGGTTTCTGTAGTTAACTTCAGAGTAGGGTCTGACCTGCTCTGTTTGGAAAGCGCTGTGAGACAACTGTTGTTGTGATGTGGCGCTATATAAATAAAATTGAATTGCCTAAATAGAATATAATGTTGCTTGGAGAGTGCAAAGCGAAATGGAAAAGTAGCTGCGAGCCTAACAAAACAGGCTTAAATAAGGCTGATTTCTCTGTAATTTGGCTCTCTGTGAAAGTCCTAAGAGAGACTGCAGCACAGACTAAGTGACACAGTCATTTCTTTCAATTCACTGGACACACAGGTGAAAATGGTATGGTGTCTGTGACTATGGAACAAGGGGTGGAGTTACCCGTTTGCAGATAGAGGTCTCCGTTGGTCCTGATGATCCAGGCCGAGTCGTCGCTAAGGGCGACGAAGCCGGTGTGCTCTCCGGCTTTGTACCAGTGGCGTTTTCCCTTGACGGACACTTTGGCGCAGGCGAAGGCCGTCATGCTCTTCTGCTCCACCTTCCACAGCAGGTTACCTGATGAAATGTGTCGAAATCAACATCCCTCTGGAGCTGCGCACCTCCTCTCTCAGCTCAAACAAAGATATCCAGTAACTCTAACCGTTTAACCCTTTCATGCATAGAGCTCACTAGAGTGGACAGCTATTTAACAGCCATTTTCTTGTGTGTATATGGGTTTTTTATATTTGAAATTGGAGTACTGGAGCATGATGCATTAAACATTTTTTTAAAATGTCCACAATCGTCTACTGTTAGAGCTGAGAAAGACTCAAATTAATCAATGAGCTGGAGTGAGAAAAGCGGTTGAGATAGGACTGAATATTTGGATAGGAGGAGACTCACATGCCAAGTTATGTGTTCATGCATTGTGTTAACACACGTAAAAAATATGTTAACACTGTGACATACAGTATTTTTATTAGTAAGACATTTTAAAACATGTACTGTTTGTGGACATCTGGAGAAATCCATGAATGAACACAGTTTCCCGCCCAAAAATAACACTTTTTTTATAATGTTTTTAAAAAAACTGAAAAAAATCCTGACTGAAATGATCCTAATTCATGCATGAAAGGGTTAAAGACAATATGAAACCTTGGCGGGTGGAGAGGTCAGCAGCTCACCTGAGGGTGATATTGCCATCTGGTGGACGTTGTCCTCAAAGCGTTGCCAGTTGAGTCCGGTTTCAGGTAAAGCGCTGCAGAACAGCGCTCCTTTAAAGTCCAGACACCACACGTACCTGAAACCCCATAAGCCTGCGGTTAGACGACTAAAAAAAAACAAAAAAAAACACCTGTCGGACACCTGAGTGCTGACCGCTGACCTACCTGTCCGTTACCTGCAGGCTCAGGATTCCGCATCCTGGTCCCGAGTATCCCATCCAGCTTTCAGCCAGCTGCGACAAACCAAACAACACATTTCTAGTAGGGCTGCAACGATCGAGACCTCTTTAAATTTGAAAATTCCAGTATAACGATTTCATTAAGAAGATCTCAAAGATTACAGTTATTTGACTATTATTCTGGGGGATTTATTTTGTATACCGAGTAGGATAAAGGCAGAAAACACCAGTTTTTTATGCCATCTTCTTATATGTAATTGTATATTGACACACTTCCATCACAAACTCTAACTGACAGGAACCACTTCAGGAAGTTTCCATACAAGCCTTAGATATAGGAGCCTTTGTGACCATTAGAAAGTTTGATTCCAGACTAGATTCTAGGGTGGTTTTATTGACATTTCCACTTCTTGGCGCTTGAATGGACAAGTTACATTTGCTACCTTACATGTTCAGTTACTAATTTGGATACTTTGCATAAATCCATAGAGTGCTCCATTGCTAGTAGGGCTGCAACGATTCGTCGACGTTGTCGACAAAAATCGATAATAGAAAAAAGTCGACAATGAATTCCATTGTCGACTATTGTCGCCAGACGTGTTTTTCCAACAGAGTGAGACATCTCACTTAATTACAATCTGCCCAGAGTCACCTGCACGACAGCGTCGCGGTCACAGAAATGGCGGCGTCCAACACGCGTACAAAAACTTCCAAAGTTTGGGAGCATTTTATCCTTGATACAACGAGTAAAAAAAAA